AGCTTAAGGCGCAGATTCAGGAGCTTTTACGACTCGGTTTTATCCGACTGAGCATGTCACCTTGGGGAGCACCCGTTCTCTTTGTCAAGAAGTAGGACAGATCCATGCGCATGTGTATCGACTACCGGGATCTGAACCGGTTGACAATCAAGAACAAATATCCGCTTCCCAGGATTGACGACTTATTTGATCAGTTGAGGGGAGCCTGTGTATTTTCAAAAATTGATTTACGATCAGGCTACCACCAGTTGAAGATTAAAGAGTCAGATATCGCTAAGACCGCCTTCAGGACTCGTTACGGCCATTACGAGTTCATTGTCATGCCATTCGGCCTCAGCAATGCTCCAGCGGTTTTCATGGACCTGATGAACCGTATTTTCCATCCCTACCTCGATCAGTTTGTTATTGTCTTTATTGACGATATTCTTCTCTACGCGAAGAGCCAGAAGGAGCACGAGGAGCATCTGAGGGTGGTTCTCGAAACCCTCAGACGAGAAAAGTTGTACGCCAAATTCTCCAAATGCGAGTTCTGGCTCCAGCGAGTATCTTTTCTGGGTCATGTGATTACTCAGGCAGGTATCGAGGTGGATTCTTCCAAGGTCTTAGCTGTTCAGAACTGGTCGACACCGAGGAGTCCGTCCGAGGTTCGCAGTTTTCTCGGTCTAGCTGGTTATTATCGCAGGTTCATCGAGGGCTTTTCTGAGATCGCCCTCCCACTATCCCAGCTGACGAGGAAGTCTGTGAAGTTCAAGTGGACTGATCATTGTGAGGCGAGCTTTCAGGAGCTCAAGAGGAGATTAACTTCAGCACTGGTGTTGACTATTCCCGATCCTTCTCGGAGTTTCACCATCTTCAGCGATGCTTCAAGACAGGGCTTGGGATGCGTTCTTATGCAGGATGGCCAGGTCGTCGCGTATGCTTCACGTCAGCTTAAGCCGCACGAACAGAATTATCCGACGCACGAAGTGGAGTTAGCCGCCGTTGTTCATGCTCTCAAGATCTGGCGACATTATCTTTACGGCGGACGTTGCGAGATTTTCACAGATCATAAGAGCCTGCAGTACATCTTCGCGCAGAAGGAGCTCAACATGAGACAGCGCCGTTGGCTCGAGCTCGTCAAGGATTACGATTGCTCTATTCAGTATCATCCAGGAAAGGCGAACGTCGTTGCCGACGCCCTAAGCCGAAAGGTGAGGGGTGACTTGACGTACATCGTTACTCTGTAGAGTCCGTTGATTCAGGAGTTTTCCCGGATGCAGCTTCAGGTGATCGATGCACTTCCCACAGCCATTTCGGGGAGTGTCAGTGCCAGTGTCAATGCCATGAAGGTTCAGCCGACGCTGAGAGAAAGAATCTGGCGAGAGCAGGCTTCTGACGAGTTCGTTTGTGTCATGGATGCCAAGGTTCGCGCCGGAGGCATCGAGGGTTTTCAGCTAGGTACCGATGGTGCCCTAGAGTTCAGAGGCAGGATCGTGGTCCCGAAAGTCGAGGCGTTGCGGAAGGAGATTTTATCAGAGGCTCATACCGCACCCTATCTAGCCCATCCCGGGAGCACGAAGATGTATCATGACCTGAAAGGGTCGTTCTGGTGGCGAGGAATGAAGAAAGACGTCGCCGAGTTTGTCAGAAGATGTTTTACCTGTCAGCAAGTCAAAGCCGAACATCAGAGTCCGATCGGCCTCCTGCAACCACTGCCGATTCCGAGGTGGAAGTGGGAGGAAGTCACGATGGATTTCGTTACGGGATTACCGAGGTCGTCTGAACATCACGACGCTATTTGGGTCGTGGTCGACAGATTGACTAAGGTCGCACATTTCTTACCCGTTTCGATGAAGATGTCTTTGGATAAGTTGGCGGAGATATATACTCGTGGCGTCATTCGACTCCACGGAGTTCCCGTTACTATCATATCAGATAAAGATCCCAGATTCGTTAGTCGATTCTGGCACAGTTTACACGAGGCGATGGGCACGAAGCTAGAGTTCAGTTCAGTCTACCATCCGGAGACAGATGGTCAGTCCGAGCGGACCATTCAGACGCTTGAGGATA